TATCCAGGACCCTTACGGTAACAAGTGTACATGAGCAATCAGTTTTGTCCTGTCACTCTGTGGACACAGGGATGGGACAAGATTGGCTGGTTTGCTAGCACATCCTCCACTAAGTTTTGAATCTGTTGGTGCATTTTAACCAGGCTTGGGAGAGGTCTCAGAAGTATTCTGTATTTGCAGGTGTCATGAAATTAGGCAGCCTCTAAATGGTCCCACTGCAAAAGAAGTTGCAAGGCGAGCAGATCTCCTTTTTATACACCAGGTTTTCCCTGCTCTCTCACAAAGAAAGACAGATTTCCCTGTCCCTACTACCATTTCAAAAAATGGAATTAAACTCTCACACATGGAAAATCCACATTTCTTCTTGCACATGCACATTCCCCTTCCAGCCCCATGTGATCATCCACTTGATATTGCTGTCGTCCCTTACGTCCAAAAGTCTTGCAGCATTTAATTAAGTCTGCCCAGCAATGCAGAGCAGACAAATGCTGTCATCTCCCATTCTCAGAGGAGTGGGGAAGGAAACAAGGGATGGAGAAGTGAGTTTACCCACAGCCACACCATGAGCCTGGGGCAAAAATACAGATACTGTCTGCATTACCACTCTGCCAGTCTGTCAGTCCCTGTTTCCAAGGTGGTGTGTCCTATCCCTGCCTTGCTGTGGGAAAACTGGCAGTGGCAGCCTGTCCACCTGGCTGGATGAGAACATCTCATTGCTTCCCTCTTTGCCTCCTGTGTCTGACCTCTGGCATCAAACAACGAAGCCTCATCTTTTCTAGAAAAGATTCATTGTTCTAGAATTTGCTTAAACTAAGCAGCATCATTAGTGAAATGCCTTTTTGCGTAGCGTATTCAAGTGCACAATCTACTGTTTCTTTTGCTTTGCCTTGTATCTAAATAATCAGTTTCTGGGAGAAAAAAAAAGGACAACACAACATTGTACTTCAAAGAAGTGGACTGAAGCTGTTAACTACTGTCTTACAGCAACAGGAATGTTTTCTGGTCTGGGCAGTGCCCTAGTCCCAAAGCCAAGCTGAGCTTCATCTGTTTTCCAGCCCTCATGCAGTACCCAGTACCCAAGGCTCTCATGACTAGGAACAACAACAAGGATAGTGATAATGAATATTCAGACATACCATAAACCACTCTCAGCATCTGCCATCCTATCTGCATTAGCATCCGTGTGCACAGACAATGATCAAAGCAACATTTTCCTGCCAGAGGCCCCCCCTAAACCAGACTTATTAGTATGAATCGAAGCTGATTAATGTCCTTCCTTAATGCAATTGTATCTACTCCTACTGTTCATGATTTAATATAAAACATCTTCCTCTTTGCTTGCCTTCCTAGTAATATTGCATGCAAGGTGCAAACCTTGACTGAGGGTACCAGGAAAATCAGTGGTTCAAGTTTTGCAAGAAAGAACTCTAAAATCTGCTAAAATGCAAAACACAGGAGGAGAGAATGAGCCTTTGGAGACTGTAACAGTGAATTGCCTTTCTGTGCTAGGATGGTAGACTGGGGTTCAGGCATCCTATGGAGAGATATTGGCAGCTATGCTGTTCTACAGCGATTCTGCTTATGCAATGTGTGGAATAGCCTTGCTCATTACAACAGCCTCTTTGCTGCTGACAGACCTCTGGACTTCAGCTGGGATGGAAGGAGGAGCATTGCATGTTTTAGTTTGGTGCTCCTACCTTTTTAACATCACCTGTAAAAATGAGAAAATGGTGCATTTTGCCTTGTGCTGCTGGGTAGCATTGACAGTGCCTTTATCTCTGTGGGTTCTCAATGTAAATGACATGGTCCTAATGTGTTGTGTCCATGCACAACATGATGCTGGAGAAATCATCAATAAATGGGTGACAGCGTTTCATTTAGGGTGAGGTTCTCTCGCCCAATTTCACATCCACTCCAGATCCTTGGTTGCTGTAGCTGGTTTGAGATCTGCTGCTATTGGCCTTAGAAGAAGAGTAGTGATCAGGTCAAACTTCATTCAACAAAATCTCAAGTGCCCCAAGGAACTGTCTGACTGAAGGATAAAGAACAAACCAGCCAGACAAAAAAAATATGGGAGAAAAGGAACATTGAAAGAGAAGACTACCCAGAAAATTCCCATGCTCCAAATCAGCTGCTTTTCTAAGGAAAGGAGTGATATCCTTAATGTAGAATATGTGCCTCCCCTGGGCTAGTCTAGTGCAAAGAGCAATTGAGAGCCATCATTTGGGAGGAAAGAGGTTTCTGTGTTGGAATTAAACAGTTGACAAAATCCCAACAGCTTTACAGATTCTCGAAGTCAATTTAAGAAGCCCACAAAATGAGATTTTACCCCTGTGGCTTTCAGTAAAACGTTATGTTCTGGAGGGTGTGTGCGCTCAAAGTCCAGCTCTTAACTGCTAGAACTGGCTGTGGCTCCACTAATTCACTATAGTTGGGCTGATTTTGACACTCCTTAAAAAATATTAAGTGACCATTTCTGCCAACAGGGCCAGATATTAAAAACAAACAACCCTCCAACATCTAGCCAGCCTCCTACCTAATGACTCCATCTGCTCTGCTGAAGCACATGAGGTTTTCCCCTCCTCCTCAGCTGACTGCAATTGGAGCAACAGTTAACCCCAGAGAGAGTGTGTTTACAAAGTGTTCAACTCCCAGCAACTCAAACCATGACACACATGGCTGGGTTTCCCCCAGCCCTCAGCTCCCTCCTGCATGGTATTTGGCCCTGAGATGCATCCCTAGGTGCCCTTGCAGTCTTCCTACGTCTCTCTGAACTCTCTACCTATTTCCACCGGACTCTGTCTCACTTCCAGTTTCTTTTGTGAATAATGACTTCTCCAGCATTGTGACCAGCTGCAAGACCCTTCTCAGACACCCCCACACACCCACGAGCCTCCTGTGCATGCAGAATGCTGCTGCCCATTTCCTCCCATGTTGGAAAAAGGAGGACATAGTTCTTCCCATGCTAGAAGTGTCTTTCATAAGTGCTTTGGCAATATCCATCAAAGATCCATGGAGAAAAACAGATTCCTTTCCACTTCTTATGTATAGAGTTAATCCTGAACCAAGATAAACCTTCAAATTCTTAGAAGTCTCCTACAAACCAAAGAGGAATTTCTTTCTTACACTTTAGTAGATAAAACTAGAAATCACAGGCTTCACATACAAGCAAGATTTTAGCTCCTTTAAAAAGGTTGGGATGGCAAAGCCATGGCACAGGCTGCCTGCTCTGGGTGTGAATTCCCTATCATGGGAAACCTTTCAGGAGGTGTTGCCCACAAACCTCTGTCAGATGTGACACAGGTATGTCTCAGTCTGCCATGGGGAAGAGGCATGGATTAAATGACCTCTCAAGGTCCTTCCAGACCCGTTTCTCCATGATTCTTAGAGACAGGATCCCAGGCTTGATGGATCTCTGGCCTGAACTACAGTGACAGTTCTTAGATGTGTCTGAACACATCCATTGCATGCGTTTCTCTCCCACTCCAGCCCCTGTAGACTGCTGCAGTAGCATTCAGGGCTGAACAGCTCTTTAGCAAAGGGCAGAGCCATTGCCAGGGGCATTGCACGGGGCAGAGATCTGCAGTGGTGATGGCAGTGTTTGTTGTCAGGCAGGGCAGGCAGAGAGCAGGGGATATCCACAACCAGGAAGAAAGTCTTTTTGAAAAAGGCATATTTTCTCTGCTCCTCTGTGCAAACAAAGACAGTGAGACGTCCTTAGTGGAAGCGTGGCAGCATAATTTCTAGTTTTTGGGGCTGTCTTCCCCCCTGAGCTGTTTTGAATGAAGAGGACAAGCCAGGACAATACCTTCAACCCATGCTACCCTGCCCTTGCTCTGCGAGCTGGTGTGAGGGGAGGGGATGCTGCACTCCCCAGGGGCTATGGGACCGGCACGACTCATTTTTCTTCCCCACACATAGATGATGTCTCGCACGTCGTTATTACTTTGCAAGTGCTGTTGGCTCTCTGCCCATGAGAGAACACTGCCTGCACACACGTGCTTTTCCCGCTCCCCCCATCCCCAAGTCATCGTGTGTGTGTTATCTGTGTGCAAGTTGCTGGTAGGATATTCACTAGCACTTTCCTGTCTACTAGTTTACATGGTTGTGCTTGCAAGTGTCTTTCTGAAAGACAACAGGACTATATAATTATGTAAATGTGCACATGTCTATGAGAGTTTTGCATTCTCTTTGGGTTTTAGCACAAATCTTGTGACACTTGCTGGCTTATTCCCCTTCACTCCAAAGCTCTTGCTGCTTTAATAGGAGGCTCATATGAGCACCCCAGCTTTTCATGTTAAAATGAAAAAGAAAAGTGTGTTTCTGGATATCACAGCTGGCAAGAAGAGCTTGAAAGAGCCAGAAACAGAGGCTTCAAAACCTAGAAGGCAAAGGAAAATCCAAATTCTGCCTATTCTCTGTAGTTTTTTAAAGACTTCTAAACCAAGATCACTGTTATGGGGGCAAGTCTGACTCGTACATGGAGATAATCTGCAGAGGTCTGTGGTAAGCAGCTAAAGCTCATGCACAGCAGTGCAAGAACTGCCGTACTGATGAGTGTCTTGACATCTTTACATCTGTTCTTGCCCATGTGAACCTTAAGTGATTGCCAGTTCACATGTATGAGTTTGGTACAGAGGCTTGGTCTGCCCACAGCTACATTAAGTTGAAAAACATGCTTCTGAACCTGCCTATGAACTTATCTGTTGCCACAAATGAAGTACACCCAGGCCCTTGGTCCCTTTTTATCTTGATCTATGTTGTGCACATTGCCATGGTACTGCAGTGCCTGCATCTAACAGAGTATTACATCTGAGTCTTTGAAGCAATTTGCTTTGCCAGCTGAGGACCGTGAAGAACCAAAGAAGCATTTCCAGATGGAACAGGAACAATGATACGTCTCCCCATTGACTACAAGCCTTGAGCCCATGGGAACTGTCTTGAGTTCCCACCACCTAACAACTTAACCAAGCTACAGGTGCTGTAGGAAAACAACATACCTGTATATTTTATATCTGGTTGTAAATCCTTGACGATGTCTTTCCACAAAGGATAAGTAGCTCCGTGAGTGGTGGAAAGGCCCCCTGTCTGAAATAAGCCAATCAAATTCCTTGGAGACATGTTGGTTGGTAGCAGCTGTGTCCTGGTGGGAGGGCTGTACTAGTATATGGTCCCATATAAACAGGAGGTAGAGGAACTCAACAAGCCTCCAGTTCATGCTTTTCTGTCTGCCTTTTTCCTCTCATTCTTGCTCCATTCTGTGGAGTCCTGTTGAAAAAGAGAGGGAAGAGGAGGAAGGAAAGAGAGAGAGAGAAATGGAGGGGAGAGGAAGGAGGGAGAGAAAGAGAGAGTTTAAAAATAAGAATTGTTCTGCTCCTTTGACAATCATCTCTCAGGGTGAAAATAGACGTGAAAAATGAAGTTTTAAAAGTCTTCAGTCTGCCTGTGTTTCAGCTTAGAGTATTTGGCAGTGTTTTATCCACATACCTAAGTGATGCCTTTAACCTCCTTAGCATATATCACCTTTGAAATAACCAAGTCCTGACCTGAGACACCCTCACCTCAGCTTTTCCATCATTTCCCTCGTGAAGCTCTCTGCAGTGCCACAAAGGTGAGTGAAGGCTGGGCGCAAAAGGTGGCTGCACCCTAGGCTACAATTACCCCGTTATTGTCCCTTTAATGTTGAGCCAGAGAAACGTGTCTTCAGGTTTCACGTCTCTCTGATGATCTGTAATCCATCCTCTGTGCAACCTGAGCAATCTATAAAGACCTAGCTCCTACTTTAAAGTGTTGCCAAAAAAAAGAAATAAAAGAAAATAATTACCCAGGCTTCAGTGACAAGCACATGTGGACACACACACAAACACACACAACTATGAAATCCTGCCAAATTTTGAAAGATAAAAATCACCTCAACCTGCTTTCCTGCCTGGGTGTTTGGGAGGTGTGTGTCTGGTGGAGGGGGAGAGGGTCTGCTGCTATTTCCATGATGTTGGGTCCTCAAGGCTCTTCCCTGGATCAAGGCTCTGCGGGGCAAGATACTGAACATGCATATTCAGAGTCAGAGATTTACTAGGGAGCTAGAGGGGATGCTCCACAGCACGTGGTGTGGGGCATACTGTGGCTCACGTGATGGGAGAATGTCTGTCCCACTGCACCTTCCATCAAATGATGGCTGCAGACAGCCCTGCTACGAGCCAGCTCCTCTCCCCGATGTGTTTAACAGCTAAACAGGCGAGACATATGATGAGTGGGAAGGGAAACAGAGGGGTGAAATGCCTTGCCAAAGGTTACCCAGCAAGCCACAGATACAGCTGGAAGAGAGCCCTCGCCTCCTGACTCCCATTTCCAGCGTTTCAGCCATTAGATCATCCGCCTCCGCAGTCATGCTGTTGGCACGATGCCCCTCTCTGAAGGAAGCCGTGTTCTCCGTTGGTGGAAGGTGAGCAGCTTGCTTAGCTGGCACCTAGCACCTGGCATGGACCCCCTCCTCTCTGCTCCCTAACCACAATGTGCCTGCAACAGCAGCCCAGCGTGTTGGGTTGTGCTCCTCATCGCCGGGAGTTGCTGATGCTGCTCTGAAAAAGTCCTCTCCATAGGCAGGAAGTGTTCCTCCTCCTGCCCACCTCCTGTCCATCTGCCTGCTTGCTCCATTTTATGGGAGATATGCCAACACAGAGGGCATGCCTTAGTAGGCAGAGTGATCTTGAGGCTGCATCTCCCACTCTGGGAGCACAAACCTGGCCAAAAGTTGTCCTCAGGACAGGCGATACCCACCTACGTCTGCAGAATTGAGTGCAGAGACACTGTAGCCCCTGTTTAAAGCAGGAGAAATTAGGCTATGCAGAGCTCTGTTAACAGTGAGATCTAGTGTCAGCCTTATTTGTACATCTCCAGAAAACCTTCTGGTTTTTAGCCTGAGTCCACCATAAGTACTCTGCAAGTCTGTAATTCCCAGAGAGAAAAGGTTTTGCTAAGAGTGTAGGAGAGGCCAAACCGAGGTGTGCTAGAGGTGCCACGCACATTTGCAATGCTACGTGTGAGCGTGACACCTTGACTGGTGTGAGCAGCACAGTACAGAGGGCAAAAAGCATTTGTGGCTGCTGTGGCCATCTCCTCTGCTCCAGGAGCTTTCACCAGGAGCGTGGCAAAACTGCAGCCCATGGCAGCGAGCGCGTGTCTTGTGCGCAGGTGGGTTGAACCCAGGAGCGCGACAGGGAGCACAAGTGCCGGGTGTGCGTGCGTGTGCCGGAGCGCGTGGGAGGCTGCACGTGTGCACAGCATGTGTTTGTGGAGCTGCAGTGAGCTCAGCAGCGCTTGACAAAATGGAGTTGTGTAAGTCTGGTTAAAAATGACAGTCAGCTGTTGCATTACATGAAGAAATTAAAAAGAAAAATTAAGTATAGGCAAGTCAATGAATGTTCACTCTTTCTGTTGGGCACATATAAACTTCATTCCAATTGCAGATGGAATATTACTGTTATTAAACCTAATGGTACCTGTAGCTCCTGACTGAGGAAGTTGTTCCTGTTCTGGAGGCATGTGTTTAATATTAGCCTTCATCACTGACTCCTACTTCACCCATAAATGTGGCAGTTCTTGGTACTTTAGTCCTTTGCCTCGCAGAAAGGAGTGTTTCTACTTTACCTTCTTCTGGAGGCATGTGTTTAATATTAGCCTTCACCACTGACTCCTACTTCACCATAAATGTAGCAGTTCTTGGTACTTTAGTCCTTTGCCTCACAGAAAGGAGTGTTTCTACTTTACCTTACAAAACTGGGGCTTGGAGAGTTTCTAGCCCCACATTGAAGGGAATACAGGATATTCCAAGTGGGCTACAGCACAGCTCTATTTCCACTCACAGTGGTCGTGAACCCAAGGTGATTACTGGGAAATGTTCCCAACTGCACCCCACCCTCGGCATTTCCAAATTTTGGTTCAGGAGACTGTTTCTCCTGCTTCTCCATCCAGGCTGCTTCTCTGCCTTGCTGCTCTTTGCACATCTACTCCATCCTATCACAGTGAGCAGCTGCAAACTCAGCATATTTGCCATTAGATGGGTATGCAGATTTGCTGCAGATAATGATCATTTGTTCTGTACACATTGTCCAAACTCACTCAGTTGTCTGCTCATTAAACTCGTCCATAGCTACTTCTTTCATCAGCCAGCCTGAATTAATTTTCCTTTAAACATTTTACTTTCTATTGAATTTCTATTGCAAAACGAGGAAGGGAGCTTTTATATACTGAAGTGGAGTGATAGCTCACGTCCAGTTCCCAGCACAGTGCAAGTGTGAACTTAAATATGAGAAAAACCAAAAGAAAAGAGTTTCAGAGAAATCCTAGTGTGTCTTCCCACATGTGAGCATCATACATTGGGGAAATACCAGCTTATAAAAGAGAGGAGATATTCACTCATTCCCCACATGCACCTCTTCATCCTCCCTTTCTTTCCTTTTGGAGTTGGGGTTGGGATTAGAGTTGTGGTGGGTCTTAACCAAGGGTTAAGACATGAGGAAAACATGCCTTTAGATGACTAGAAGAAATGGACACATCTCCAGTCTGGTAGGTAGTTATGAGTATCAGTGCTGAGAGCAGGGAATGGTGCCTGAGGCAGTGGAGGATGGCGAAGCACAATTGGGTCTAGACAACTATCACGCCATCAACTTTAATTTTTTAGTAGTATCTTTTTCCCCCCTGTAGCTGCTGTAGAGATGTTGTTTCGCATTAAAGATTAATACACACCACAGGGCTGGTCCCCGTGGAAGCTGTAAAGCTGACTAAAGTGGGATTATTTTGTGTCTAAGGCAATATTGTGAGGTGCATTCAATCTAACTCCTAACAAGCTTGAATCTGAAATTAATTTGTTAGGTGTCTTTGTGGGGCTTCACTGATATAAGATATATTCTGGGGATTTTGCAAAAGGGACAGGGGAAGAAGGGGCAGCGAGGTGATGTCTCCAAGTGTATAGCCCTTGGTAGGAGACTGAAGACTAACAAAAAGCTAAATTTGGCACAGGAGCAATCTCTGCTCTATAGGGCAGTCAGACACTGAGCTTTGAGCCAGGAATCCAGCATTCTGCACAGTTCTGCCCCAGACACCCTCTGTGACGTTAGATAGTGCCCTTACATGCTTTTTTGCCTCGCTTTCCAATTATCAGCACAGAAACTCAATAGTATTTGACTCTTTGGACAATGAGCTTGTTGGAGAGGCCAGCATCTGGGTATAGCACTTAACAAACCTCAGTCCTGCTGCCCACATGGCTCTCTAGGTGTTCGTGTCCTACAAGCAATGAATGACAACCATCTCAAGGTGTCAGCAAGCTTTGCAATGCAGCAGTTAAAAATAAAATAAAATAAAATAAAAT